ACACAGTATGAAACGGTGTATTTCCAATGTTACCACATGCTAGTCTTTAGTATGAAAGCCAAGAGAAATATTTACTACTCACTCTAGATGGACATATTTATGTAATGTTTTTGATATTAAAGAACACAAATAATCGGCCGCTTATGCGGCCTTGCGATCTCTTTTTGAAGTTCTTTTGACATGTCTTTTCAAATATCTTTTTAGGTGTATACGAAGGCTGTAAAACTCGCATACTTGGTACAAGAGGCTTTTCTACGTATAACCTTTGATAAATGTCTTTTTTTACACTCCTACCCCTCTTTTGTGTACATCGTTGGGTTATACAGCCCTATTAGTGGACGCTATGTCGAGTCGACGTAAGGGGCCTCCTCTCCGCATTTCACCCAGCCTCCCCAGCTTTCCTTAGCTTGAAGCTTGACCAGCCCTGCAAAACCATTCAGCCCCTGGGCAAATTATGTGACTGCATCGGAGAATCAACGGAAATTCTTTTGGGTTTGGTATATCGTTGGGTTCCTGCAAGTTCCTGTACACGCGCAGTGCTAGGACGAACTGGTTACGCTCGACCTATAAAAACGAGCTGGGACATGATTATCTGAGACGAAAATTTCCCTCCCGATCTACAACCGAAATAGGGAAGTGGTCATTATGGTTGGTGCGAAGAACCTTCTTAGCGGTGCTTGGCTCTTGCCAGTAGCCTATGGTGCTTTCTCAACATTCGGCCCTACGTCCTCGGGCTCCCACTCTGCCGCTTCCTCGACCTCTTCAGGAAAATACACCCAGTTTACCATTCCGGCTGACGCCGATACTGGCGCACAACTGATCGCCAATATTGATGACCCTGAAGCCGTTAACGCGCAGTCGGTTTGTCCCGGGTACAAGGCATCAAACATTAAGGAGTCTGCTCGCGGTTTGACCGCTACTCTGACGCTAGCTGGAAAGCCATGCAATGTCTATGGTACTGATGTAGACTCGTTGGACTTTTCCATCGAGTACCTTGCTAATGACCGACTCAATGTTCAAATCGTTCCGACTTATCTTGATTCTTCGAACTACTCTTGGTTTGTGCTAGATGAGCATGTCGTTCCCCGACCGGCTTCCGATAATCATGCATCAAAGAAGCAAAGTGATCTTGAGATCACCTGGTCAAATGAACCCTCTTTCCATTTCAAAGTGACCCGCAAGGCTACCCGTGATGCTATCTTCGATACCACCGGTTCGGTTTTGGTGTTCGAGAACCAGTTTGTTGAGTTTGTTACCTCCTTGCCAAAAGATTATAACTTGTATGGTATTGGAGAGCACATCCAGCAGCTGCGCCTCTTGAACAATCTCACTTTGACTTTATATGCGTCGGATATTGGTGACCCTATTGATGAGTGAGTTTCATTTCCTATACATCTTTTTCTCCTCGTTTTTGCTGCTATTCTGATACTGACTACTTTTACCAGCAATGTTTATGGCTCCCAGCCTTTCTATTTGGACACCCGCTACTATGAGGTTAACCACCTTGGTCATCACATCCTCGTTGCAAGTGACAAAGCCGATCAGTCTAAGGACTATGTTTCCTTCTCGCACGGTGTCTTCTCTAGAAATGCCCATGGCCAGGAAATCATCATGAATCCTGAGGGCTTGAAATGGCGAACCCTGGGAGGTAGCATTGATCTCACTTTCTACTCAGGTCCTAGCCAAGCGGATGTGACCAAGAACTACCAGTTGAGCACCATCGGCTTGCCAGCCTTGCAGCAGTACTTTACTTTTGGCTTCCACCAGTGCCGCTGGGGATACAATAACTGGACTGAGCTTGAAGAGGTTGTCTCTAACTTTGACAAGTTTGAAATCCCGCTCGAGACTATCTGGTAAATTGATTCACCCTTTCTATGGTTTAAGCAGGTTCTAACATGGACTAGGAATGACATTGATTATATGCATGGATACCGTGACTTCGACAATGATCAACATCGTTATCCATACACTGAGGGCGAGAAGTTCATAGACAAACTGCACAGCAGTGGCCGTCATTATGTTCCCATTATAGATTCGGCTATCTACATTCCAAACCCTGAGAACGCCTCGGATGCGTAAGTTCCCCCAAACCTGCCTAACAGAAACAATGCTGATTTATCCTCAGCTATGATACCTACACTCGCGGACACAAGGATGACGTCTTCCTGAAGAATCCCGATGGAAGCGAGTACATTGGCGCTGTCTGGCCCGGCTACACTGTCTTCCCTGACTGGCACAATCCTAAGACAGGCGATTTCTGGGCAAACGAAATTGTTACCTGGCACAAGAAAATAGCCATTGATGGCATCTGGATTGACATGAACGAGGTTTCTTCCTTCTGCGTTGGCAGTTGCGGATCTGGAAACCTTAGCATGAACCCGTCCCACCCTCCGTTTGCCTTGCCTGGAGAGCCTGGCAACGTTATTTATGACTACCCGGAAGGATTTGAGGTCAGCAACAAGACTGAAGCTGTATCTGCATCTGCAGCGTCATCAAGCCAGGCTGCTGCCGCTGCAACTGGCGGCTCTGTCTCTTCGTCTACCTCTTATCTACGGACTACACCCACTGCCGGAGTACGCAACGTCAACTACCCGCCATATGTGATCAATCATGACCAGGATGGTCACGACCTGAGCTCGCACGCCGTCTCCCCGAACGCAACTCACTCCGATGGCGTCCAAGAATACGATGTGCACAACCTCTTCGGCCACCAAATCCTTAACGCCACCTACCATGGCCTGCTGAAGGTCGACGAAAAGAAACGTCCCTTCATCATCGGCCGCTCGACATTCGCAGGCTCTGGTAAATGGGCTGGTCACTGGGGTGGTGACAATGCCTCTAGGTGGGCATTTATGTTTTTCTCCATCCCCCAAGCTCTTTCATTCTCCCTCTTCGGAATCCCCATGTTCGGTGTCGATACCTGCGGCTTTAATGGTAACACCGACGAAGAACTCTGCAACCGCTGGATGCAACTATCGGCCTTCTTCCCGTTCTACCGCAACCACAATACCCTCTCCGCAAACTCGCAAGAGCCCTACGTCTGGGAATCCGTCACGGCCGCCGCCAAATCTGCCATGAAGATCCGCTACGCAATCCTCCCATACTTCTACACCCTCTTCCACGAAGCCCACACAACCGGCTCCACCGTCATGCGCGCCCTAGCCTGGGAATTCCCCACAGACCCGTCCCTCGCCGCAGTCGATACCCAGTTCCTCCTCGGTCCCTCGATAATGGTTGTCCCCGTGCTCGCCCCGCAAGCCACCTCCGTCAAGGGCGTCTTCCCTGGCCTCAAGCAAGGCGAGGTCTGGTACGACTGGTACACTCAGACAGCTGTGGACGCAAAACCCGGTGTCAACACCACTATCCCTGCTCCGCTGGGCCATATCCCCGTTTTCGTGCGTGGAGGCAGCGTCTTGCCGATGCAGGAGCCGGCTTTGACTACGAAGGAGGCACGTGGCACGCCCTGGTCTTTGCTTGTGGCACTTGGTGGCAGTGGTGCTGCCTCTGGGCAGTTGTATCTTGATGATGGAGAGAGCAATACTCCCGATGCGACGCTTGATGTTACTTTCGGGGTCAAGGGGTCTAGCTTGAGTGCCAGGGCAAAGGGTGGCTGGGAGGAATCAAATCCTCTCGCTACTGTTACTGTTCTCGGTGTTTCTAAGAAGCCTGGCACTGTCAAGTTTAATGGTAGACCTGTGCCGGCTTCTGGGGTGCAGTATAACGCTACATCGCATGTGTTGTCGGTTGGTGGGTTGCAGAAGTTGACTGAAGAGGGTGCTTTCAATGAGAACTGGACTTTGAAATGGTGAGTAGTAGACTGTGGTATTCCTTTTAGGAGAGAATTGGGATTTCGGTTTTTTCACGTGCAAAGCTGCTGTCTTCTCTATAATTTATTACAGTGGCAGTCAGATTCACCTCTATTCATTCACAGCAATAATGGACTTTTGTTGTATAATTTCGCTCTTCCTAGTATCTCCTAGTTGTCTTGTTTTCGTCCTACTTACTATCAAAAGATCGAGCACCCATTGTCAAAGTACCGGTGATTCTGTATAACCTCACCTCAGTTCAGTAGAGAAGAAACTGCACGAACCCCCCTACCCCCGGTCGCGTTCATAAATGGCCTGTTTGAAGATCCACAGATTGCAATCTCCTATGTCGGCCCGAATTATGAAGCCCAAATATACATTGTCTTTTCCATACACATACACGTCATCATATCTCTACTAGGCCTCGGGTTTCTCATCATACAACGGAGTACATGCCCTAAATCATCCTAGCAGCATCCACCATGACCATTAGTATCTACTCGTCCCCGACTAAAATCCGAAAGTCTGTGCAAAAGATCGACATCATCTCAAACGAGCCAGTAACCCATTGCCGCCCCCTCTCCACTCCCGCGTCCCTGCAAATTTGGGGTACGAGCCCCCGTGCGCGTTGATTCGATCAAATCTCGTGTCAGGGGATTCGAAGGGTATTATTTTAATTTCGCACGTGCAGTACGCTAGCCTTGTGATCCAGGCTAATCATTTCAAGGTTAGGCATGCATCTATAATATTGCAACTTTGCTTTTTCCGGCAGGGCTGGAGGGGGGAATCGGGATCTGACGAGTTAGATGTGAAGGATGAGAGTGGAATTCTCGTTTAGGGAGATTATCTGTCAATTAATTATGGAGCTCTCGACCATACAGACCCCCCTCTCTGTTTCCTGGTTCTGTCGGACGGGCATTTAGACGGGGTTGTTTTTCATTTAAGCAAATGCATCTGTGAAGATCTTCGTCTAGGCTTTTGGCGTTTATTGGCTTAAGCCATATTCTCTCCTGGGGTCTGATTTCAACGGCTATTGGTCTCTAGTTTTTCTGTCTATCTGCCGCTGTATGCATGGCTTTTTTCTGGAGTATTTATATCAAGCCCCCTTGCAGCGCCTTTAATTGGAATATTCCGTTGCGCGAACGACTTCCCTTTCTCTTGCCCCTGAGTTATCGGTGCTGAAATATCTACAAGATGGTTCTCGCACGATTTGCTTGGCTTGCTGGCTTTGTTAGCACTGCCATTGCTGCCACTCCAGCTGAATGGCGCTCACAGTCGATCTACTTCATGCTCACTGATCGCTTTGCCCGAACGGATGGCTCGACTACTGCTGCTTGTGATACCGCTGATAGAGTAAGCTTTCATCTATGTATCGACTCTGTGACATAGCGACGGAGCTGACTGTATACTCACTGGATAGCAATACTGCGGCGGAACTTGGCAAGGAATCATAGATAAGGTCAGTAACGCTCAAATCCTTCCTATATCTTCCAACTAACCAATCTCTTAGCTGGATTACATCCAAGGAATGGGCTTTACAGCCATTTGGATTACTCCTGTGACCGGTCAATTAACCGAGGACACCCCGTACGGAGAGGCTTATCACGGATACTGGCAGCAGGACGCGTGAGTATCACAAAGCAGAAAAGAGCGCACTTGACCCCTGTGTCTCTACTGACCCAATCTAAGTTATGCTCTCAACTCGAACTACGGAACTGCAGACGATCTCAAGGCCCTCGCTGCAGCTTTGCATGAACGCGACATGTATCTCATGGTCGATGTAGTAGCAAACCACATGGTGAGTGAAATCATCGACATCTCCAATCATCCGGCCTGAGACTGACATGTATTGGATAAAAAGGGTTATGATGGCGCAGGTACTGACGTAGATTATACCAAATTCAACCCCTTCAACGATGCGAAGTATTTCCACTCGTACTGCCCAATCACCGATTACAGCAACGACACTATGGCGCAAAACTGCTGGCTTGGCGATAACGAGGTTTCCCTGCCGGATCTGGATACAGAGAGCACGGAAGTGCAAGATATGTGGTATGATTGGGTTGGATCTTTGGTCTCCAACTACTCAAGTAAGTTTTATCCCAAACTCTTTTGCTTCAGCAAAATATATATCGTCATGTCCAGAAACTAACCAATATATAGTCGATGGTCTCCGCGTTGACACAGTCAAACACGTCCAGAAAGATTTCTGGCCCGGCTACAATGAAGCCGCGGGCGTCTACTGCGTAGGCGAAGTCCTTGATGGCGATGCTGATTATACCTGTCCATACCAGGAGGTAATGGACGGGGTGCTCAACTACCCAATGTGAGATCCTTCCCCGTGAAGTTTATTGGATACACACGGAGAACAAAGTCTAATTCATGGAAATAGTTACTATCCTCTCCTCAGCGCCTTCCAATCTACCTCAGGAAGCATGACCGACCTATACAACATGATCAACACGGTGAAGTCGACGTGCAAGGACTCAACCCTTCTCGGAAACTTCGTGGAGAACCACGATAATCCTCGTTTTGCCTCGTAAGTGGAAATTACATCAAAGCAACGGATCAGATTCCATTCTGTATGTATAGAAGCTAATCTCCTCCCTTCGGGAACCCAGCGTCACCGATGACATTGCCCTCGCCAAGAATGCAGCCACATTCACCATCATGGCAGATGGCATTCCTATTGTCTACGCAGGACAGGAGCAGCACTATAGTGGTGGCGCGGACCCAGCTAACCGCGAGGCTCTGTGGTTGTCCGGATATGATACAGACAGCGAGCTGTACAAGCTTATTGCGACGGCCAATGGTGCCAGAAATCAGGCCATTGCCAAGGGTACCAATTATACTATTTATCAGGTATGTGCTTATCTGTATCTCTGTCTGAGAAACAATAATAGTAATGATAATGGACAAAAAAACTAACTCGGTCTTCACAGAACTACCCTATCTACAAAGACGACAGCACCATCGCCATGCGGAAGGGCTATGACGGTGGGCAGACAATTACTGTCCTATCTAATCTCGGTGCAGGTGGTACCGAGTACTCGGTTTCAATTCCCGACACCGGATTCGCGTCGGGTGCGAATTTGACCGAGGTTGTGTCCTGCACTAGTATTACCGCCGGCGAGAGTGGGGAGGTGTCTGTTCCCATGTCGGGTGGAGCGCCGAGGATTTTGCTCCCCACCTCGTTGCTTGATGGCTCGACTCTGTGCTCGTAGACTTCGGCGGCGAATTGGTGGTCGGGCCGAGGCACGATTGCCCCCTTTCCTCCTCCGAGGGCTTGATAGATCGATCTTTCTTCCCTATGCTTTGACAGTAGGGGAAAGTGTACATATGAATTGATTGGTGTTTGTATACTTCCTTTCGAATGATTTATATCATCTATTAATGGATTGGTGCTTAGACTGTGGAGATGAGAGTTTATGCTGAATATTGAATGGAAGATGTATACAGCTAAATAACTATGTATTTTGAATCCAACTATAGGTACAATGTAAAGATTGACTACTTTGATGAATAGAGAACCCAATAAGTCATGACTATTTCCATTCGAGCTTTTGCTATTACAATCCTCCGCCAGAAAAGAACATTGAATATAAACATAACACCCGAGACCCAACAGATCCAACCTCATTATCAACTCAACATACACCAACCCCAATAATCTATAAACAAAAGAAGAAAAAGAAAAAGAAAACTTAACATCATAATTCCAACCGCATCATCTCATCACCAATCATGCAAAGCCCTCGGGACTAGACCAATAGGCATAGCTCCACCAGTAGTACCAGTCGTAGGAGATTGGAACAAATCCGGCGTCTCAAACGCAGGCTGCGAAGCCGTATACCCAGGCATCATCTGCTCAAGACAATTATACCCCTCAACAAGGGAATCCAACCCCTCCGCGCTAGACATAAGCTGCGAGATATCCATACCGGAACGATGATGGTGCGACGGGCTGAACATCTGCACACCCTTGACGTCGGCGACCGGCGACGACGATGAATGCGATCCCGCAGTCACAACAGTAGTTGTCTCCGAATACCGCCGCTGCACTTCGCCCACAATACACGCGATCCGATATGAGAGGTTGTCACCGCCGGGTGCGAGATGCAGTAGGAAGCCACGGACTTGGCTGATTAGTGGATCGGAGAGCGTGTAATCGCATAGAGTGAGCGCGGCGTAGCCGACGATGAAGTAGACGTGGTCGATTAGAGCGGGCGCGGTGGTGAAGCGTATTTGGAGGAATTGGGTTATTATTAGGCGGGCGGTGCCGCATATTTCTGGGATGAGGCGCTCGTTGTCTGGTTGGAGGCGGGCGGCTGTTCGGTAGAGGAGGAGTTGACAGAACCAGAGATTCAGGTTGAGAGTTGAGTCTTCGCTGGTGGCTGTTGGTGGTATGGTTGTTAGATTGGGATTTGGGGATAGAGTAGGAGGGCTGATGTACTTAAGAGATGTGACCATTCCATTTTCCACCGCTCCAGTTCTTCGTATTCAGTTTCTGCGAACTGGAGGCGGGGCTGGCTGTGTTGAAGTCGGAGAGCGATGCGATATAGTTGAATTTCCGCGACGATTCTTCCGTCTTCGGGTGTGGCAGCTGCGTGTTCTAGGATGCGGGGGCATTGGTCGATGTATTGTTGTTGGATGTTGACCGTGCGGCCATTTGCGAGAGCAGAGCTATTGGGTTGGTGTTAGATCGTGTATATCTGACGGTTTCTTTAAACAGAACATACTGTAGCTGGGTTGAGCAGAGCGTATTCCACAGACGCAACTGAGCAAGTACTTCGTCTGGGTTTAAATTGTCTCCTGGCAGGGTATTGAGGAAGTTAAATGAGATGAGAGCATGGTTGATTGAGATCCCGCTCAGCAACCAGTCATCCATAAGTCCTTCTTTGTGAACGGAAGTTGAGTATAGACAAAGCAATGTCAAGGCCTGGAGCATATCGCTTGTCATAGGCGGGGGCTTCCACAACACCTTTGCCACGGCATGTTGTACACAAAGTGATATATCACGGACGGTATGTTGGGATAGTCCAGGAAGATATCGCGAAGCCAAGAGACATGCAGTGTTGAAAAGGAGTGTATTTGACCGTTGAATGCAAGATGAATGATTTATTGAAACCCAATGGCCAAAATATTCAACGAAACTGGCGAGATCATTAGCAGGAAGGTCTAGTGACAAACACACAATCAAACACACAGTTCAATCAATTTCACCGAAAGCTTGGAATCTACGATGCCCTGGGTGACGATGTCACCGAGGATGTCAGCATCGGAGAAATGATCTCTCTCGCCGAAACATTCGGCTTGCAAATCTCGAATTATTTGCGCTGGTTTGAGCGGATAAAAAGATGAGGACATGCTATCACTGGAAGATGCTCCATCTAGGCTGTTGTTTCTGGTTTGTAAGGTTGGGCTGCAGGGCATGCTGGGGGAGCGGTTCACCATCTGCCGCATCAGATTTATCATCTCCCCCATACCCCTTTCGAGAGAGACAAGCCTTTCCTCGATCGATGGTATAGCGGTGGCGTCGGACCAGGTGGATGCATTGTCCTGGAAGCGTTCAGTTGTCTCGGGGAGCTCGCATTCAAGCCTTTTTTATGACACATAGTTAGTATTTAGAGAAACGGGCGGTTCCAAAAACAGTCAAAAGAAAAAAAAAAACCCCCGCCCAAGACAGCCAAGACAGTCAAAAACAGTCAAAAACAGTCAAAATACAACCAAAAATCGAGTATATGCAAAAAACAGAATAAAAAAGGGACCAACCTAAGTGACAAACAGCGGCGACAAGCATGGCCACGTGGGTCGACATCACAGCGAGTCTTGAGCTTGCGACAAGTATTACAAGCGGTCATTGATCGTCGAATGCGCCCCTTAGGTCTGGCATCTTGGCACGCGACCGAGTCGATTCGGCTGCCATCCTCTGGAATAATCCTCTTGGATTCCCATGAGATATGATTATTTGGAGGACCGGTTCTCGTCATATTGGATGTTGAATGGTTACTGTGAGTATTGTAGGTAAATGTGTACTGTTTTAGATCTATGATCGAAAGGGGAGAAGTTGAAGAGTAAAAAGAGAAAAGAAAAGAAAAAAAGAAAAAAAGGCTTAATGATCAATTGGACCCTTAACAGAAGGCCAAAATCAAAATCCTGAAGATCATTTGGTGTTTATCAGGGAGATCCAAGCCTTATAATAGCGGGTCAAGTAGATTAGAAGGCTGGCCGTGGATTTTTAGCCAATTGCGACAAGAGACCGATTACTGACGATATCGAAACTCCGCGCAGGTACGTCCCGTTCATGGCGGATTATAGCGGACCATGAGCGGACCTGGGGTAATCGAATATGCATCCACCAATCTGAAAACATCCCGTTAGCTTCTAGAAGGGTAGCGATTGTCGGTGCATACTTTTTGCTTTTTAAGAGGGGTTGATAATGTCGCATAGGCCTACTCCGTACCCCCCTGACCCAATTTCCCCGACGAGAACCGTAGGGGAGGGGGTCTGAGAGGGGGGCTTGAGTGGTACGACGATATGGAGTTTTTACTAGATACGTCCTTTTGCGTTGGAATTCTTTTACTCGTTCTCAGTTGAAATCCGAGGTTATCACGAGGTTCCTTTCCCCTTTCCCCCCCTGGTTTCCCTATCTATGTCAACCAACTTCTTTGCATCTATGTCTTGCACGGACATTTCCGACATAAGTAAGTAAGAAGTAGACAAGGATCTAGAGTGAACAGTGTCGACTCTTTAGTATGATTTGGTAGTGATCTGAGGTGGAGAGGGAGGATCAGGATCCAAGTGGAGAGGGACAACAGGCAAACAACAATAACCCGCTAATCATTGGTTAACATGTGCAATGTCTCAAAATAAATGGCTATCAGGATTGGAGATCGCAGCGATGTGACCTTGTAACTTTCAGGCCCGCTTAACAACGGGTATCTTGCCCGTTTAATGGCCTAGTGGCCCTATTAGCTCGTGGTTTTTATTTAGCATCAACAAAAGGACCCCCGGGATCCCAAAAACCCCGAGGCCCCGGTGCTTGTTATCGACTATGCACTCCGTAGTGTCATAAGACCCGGAACGTTCTATTCTAGCCCTGGAAATTCCGTGGCCTTTCCGGCTTACCGCAGGATAAGCTATCATTTAGAAATTAGGTTTTTGGATATGTATGTTGTATGTCGAGAGTACTCCGTATGTGGATAACCTGCAGTTCTTTTAGATTACGTCCCCGCCTGGGCGCTTGGAGGAGGACTGTTACTGTTAGATTATGTCTACATCGTGCTCTTTACACGTGTACATTGCAGCTGATGAGGAATATCATTTGGCACGCTCGTCATTCGCCCTTGACTTATGCTCCCTGCTTTCACATGCTCAGACTATTCCCTGTCTCTACGCAATTTGTCTACAATTCGCCTTGTATGTGAGGCTTTTCGTCATTCGACTACCCTGCTGCCCACGACGCCTATCTCCGTGGGACCACCATCTCTCTCTCCTTTTCTACTCTCGTCGCCTTGCTTGCATTTTTGGTTTTCTACTCTGGCACTGTAATACACGTATGTATGACAGCGTCAAGAAAAGAAAAGAACATTGCCAGGTATCTGATCTCCGTTGATTCTGTCAATGCTGCATGAATCTGCAGACGGATAACTATTGAGTGAGAGAGTCAGCCCCCCCCTCTGGGTCCAACCTCCCTCCCTCCCCCACCCGTGTTTACGCGGCCCCAAAAACTCGTTCTAGATTTTCGAGAAGCAGAAACAAAAAGAATTGACCGACGCAGGGATCGAACCTGCAATCTCTTGATTCGTAGTCAAGCGCCTTGCCATTGGGCCAGCCGGCCAGGCTGTTATGGTGATTCTGATAAAATGTGCACTATAAGTGGATCTGATGTGGGACTCGCTTAAACGCGCTTATATTCGCTTATATCCACGTGACTTTGTATGTCAGAGCTGTTACCAGCATGATTTAGCAGCTAATGATTGTAGAGACTATTATTTGCATGTGGCTGGGTATTTCCGTCTTCAGTAATGTCTCTTCCTGTTTTGGGGAGGGGGTATTCTATCGCTTTTTTGTGATGAATCGGGCTGGTTGGTTCTTGATCCGATCATGTATCTCGACTAGCTTGGTGGTGATGATATAGAAACAAGGTTAGTGACTGTATATAAATCGAAATATTGCCGGTTTTGATAAATACTATTGTGGAAGTAGATAGGAAATGGGTATA